TAAACTAATTGCACTCATGATTTTTTATTCAAATAACCAGTTCAATTTTTTCTATTATTTCAATAAGATCAAAAATTATTATTCATGTTTCATCAGTATGTAATTTGTATCCAAATGTAATTTCAAAAAAAAAACCGAGCAAAGCTTGGTCATCCAGGCACTATTTTTTTTAATTAAGGTGACTAAGAGAATGCCAGAAAGCTCTCCCTTACGCCAGACTTAAAGGGGCCAGATCTGCGATAGCAGCATCAACAGTGAAGTCTAGTGTTGCAAATGCCAATCCGTCTGCCAACCGTGGAGATTAAGATAGATCTTACAGGCAAGTGGAGATCACCATGTAGTATGTTTAAGTATCGGAAAGGTTCTTATAAAGAGGAAAGGGACTTCATAACCTTAGCAGCATCAGCCACGTCAGCCATCGTCGAATTTACTATAATATAACGAACGGAATGATTTTTTACATAAAAAAGTCTTAAAACTGCCATCAAAGATTTTAATGCTGACTATACCGGAATTAACTTGGGTTGCTCATTTACTGGTGACCGATGGATCCATAGCGGAATTTTGTTTCCTATATTAAAAATATAGGTGGGAAAAAAGAACACATTTATACTAAAAAAAAATATGAATCCTAATAATGTCACTTACTTTCATTTTGGATAAGTAAAGGATGCGGGTTTGGTAGAATAAGTAGGGTAAATAAGTATGAAGAAATGACCGTCACCGAACTAAACACGATTCTTTGTGAACAATGCGTTACGGTACAATTCTGAGAAGGTCGCGAAGTTTGTAAAAAGCGAAATGTACTGACATTGTATCGGTACACAATGCAGGTCTATTAATGAAGATTAAATAATTTTACGTTTTATATGTCGTTATGTATGTTGTAGCTTTATTAATTAACTCGCCTGAACACCTTATACGTGGCAGAGCCATGCTGCAGTTATATTAGTAGTATAGTTGTACCACGAATGGGTCGGCTCGACCGGGAAAGGACCACGCTTTCACAGAATACCAGCGTAAAATATATGTATGTTGAGCGTAGAGAATCGGAGACCCTTTTTACTGGAAACGAGGCATTCTATCTTAGTCCTCACGGGTGACAACGCATCTGCATTTTGATTCGTAATCGAGGATAGATATAGATATAGATGTCTATGGCCCACAGCAACCACTTACCATCAGGTGAACTGTGTGCTCGTTTGTCACCCTATCCTATAAAAAAACACCTATTGGGTAAGGTCGTAAAAAGTGTAAATAACGCACATAAGGTATAACACATGATAACACAATAACGTACTGGAATAATATAAAAGTCAATGTTCACTTGGAAAAAGTTTTAAGTAAAATCCATTTTAAAATATTATTAATTAGTTATATTCATGAAATTAAGATTAAATAATCAAAAACGAAGCTTAGACTATGCATAGACTAAGCATACCTTCCATGTTTGCGAAACTAAACGTTTAACGAAATAATGTGCTTACAAAAAACAGTAGGTACTAATCAAAGTATGTAATTCATAAAAGAAATATACCGAATTTAACAAATATGTGTTTACAGTTTAGAATTAGTACAGATACCGTAATTATTACCATTTATCACAGAATTTTGTTTTACTGTTTTTTTAATTATAAGGGTTATCCCATTTGACACTAGTCGCGTTCGCACAGAGCCATATTTAAGAAAAAATTGAAATTTAAAAATGCGTTTTTTTAATGTAATCAATAGGTGAACTATAATATCATAGTTTTAATTTAATATGTAATGATTTAAAAAAAAACATTTTGTGTTTATCTAATAAGCTCAGCATACAAATATAATAAAGCCACATTAAAAAATGTGTTTTAATAATAACTTATTTATATTTTGCCATTTAAGAAAATTTAAAAAAAATGCTTCTTATCATTTAAAAATTATTTTATATTATGGTCCTGTGCGAGTGGAAAAGCTGACGAAAGGCGAGTACGTCAGAATAACATTACTCCTTTTTCATTTCACTGTAGTCGGTTAAGTTATGTAACAGCCTCCTTTATAACATTCCAGTGTGTGATATAACAAACACCATAACACACGTAACGAACTGGAACAAACACACTCGAAAATTCAAAACTCAACAATGAATACCGGTTATAAATCACGCGTGATTTACTTAATAAAACTTGACATACACTGGTAATTGACTATAAATTTCGAATCAGGAATCTAGTAAACGATATCTTTGTACTTCTCACGACTCGTAGAATGCACATATACACTGCCCGAAATTTGTGCTCTAAATTATGGAATTTACAATTGTTTACGGTCACGACTACAAATGAAAAAAATATGTCAAAACTGACATTTGACAGTAAGCCTACGGCATTGCCTCATCGAAATTAGGTCAATAATGTTATTTTAATGTTGAAAACAAAAAAATCTACCCCATATCGAATCGGAGTAACACACTGGATAACTTTTGGAGACACAAATTAGAATGAGATTTTTTTCCACTAGCATTGTATTATTGCAATAATTTATACATTATCACACGGCATCTTTATTGCTTTCAAAGTAAACTACAATTTTTAAGTCATAATTAAATCAAAAAAGTTATTTTATTTGTTGCATTTCTTCGTCCCGTAAATTGATAGGAGACACATCAATTTTGTATGCAGCTTTATTTTGTTGATTAAAAAATATTTTTTATTTTTATGTTTAAGCCTCCTGAATATTTTGGTTATTGCTACATTATTCTAAATATGTTTATCAATGTTTTATTAATTAATAATATTATCATACTTTTTGTTAGCGTATGGTATTCACAATCAAGCACGGGCTCACTCAAAACTTTCATAAAGTACATTTTTTTACGATCTTACCCTACTATGTCCTATTAATGTGGCAATATTTAGATTTCAGATAGTCGTGGACAATTTTTTTCGGATAAAATACAGTCTTAGTTACTCTCGGCATCGTTCTCTATCTGATCGTCAAGTTTCATTACAATTGGTTTACCCATTCTGAAGATTATCCCGGACAGAGAGATAAAATAATTTTGATATTGTATTTCATGTTTTAATGGCGTGTATATAACCGCCTAAGCTGAATAAAAGGCAGTTATTTTGATGTTACAGACACTAATTTATATGCATAGATTAACTTATAACGCATGATATCTCTGAACACTCATGTTTTTAACCCGAATGCTATAAGGCAAAAAATAATAATAATGTCCTCCAGACTGAACTTCCCAAGATAGTGCCCAAGTGTATGCGCAAGCACAGGTGCACTCTCTATTCCCTCACTCTCATAATCCGATGGGACGGTAAACCGACACGACCAGAGAGTGATCAGGCGCAGAACCAACGACGTTACGTGCTTTCCAAGGCACGGGGGTGAGACACCGCCAACTCCGGACAGCCACTGAGAATCTCGACGGAAAAACTCAATAATTGTTTTTTTTGACACGACCTGAGATTCGAACCCAGGACTTCATGATCAGCAGTTGCACTATTAAAACCGCTAGACTAATGAGGCAGTCATCAATATAAGGCAAATATTAAAGTAATCTATAGTCGTGCTTTTATATTTGAACGGCAAAAGTACTAAAAGCTCATCTCATCGTAAGTCTTACACCCATGAACCTATTTTATACGTGATGGTAGAGCCACGCTGCAGCTACATTATGGTTGCAGCACGAATGCGTGGGCTCGACCGGGGAAGGTTCTCGCTCACACAGAATACCAGCGTAAAATAGCAGCCTCGTGTTTCGTATAGTGAGTGTAGAGATCCGGAGACCCTTTTTACTGGAAACGAGGCATTCCATCTTAGTCCTCACGGGTGACAACGCATCTGCATTTTGATTCGTAATCGAGGATAGATGTAGATGTCTATGGCCCACAGCAACCACTTACCATCAGGTGGACTGTGTGCTCGTTTGTCACCCTATCCTATAAAAAAAAAGTCCTTACTGCAGCCCATGAAAACCCAACTAACTTTATTAAAAGAAAGCCACTGAGGCATTATCGGATGTATATGGTAGATGGTATAATATGGTAGAGCCACGCTGCAGCTACATTACGGTTGCAGCACGAATGCGTGGGCTTGACCGGGGAAGGTTCTCGCTCTCACAGAATACCAGCGTAAAATAGCAGCTTAATACTGATGTGTTTCGTATAATGAGTGTAGAGATCCGCAGAACCTATTTTACTGGAAACGAGGCATTCCGTCTTAGTCCTGATGGTGACAACGCATCTGCGTTTTGATTCTTATTCGTGGATAAATGTAGATATCTATGGGCTACAGCATCCACTTACCATCAGGTGGACTGTGTGCTCGCTTGTCACCCTTATTCTATATATATAGGAAATAACATGGAATGTCTCAAAGATCGTATCTATAGTAATCGGGACACGGCAGTAGCTTTGTCTTACTCTTATTATTATTTATTATCATCATTAGGCAATAAAATCCGTATTGGTAGCCTAAGATAATCGATCAGTCCATTGCGTCCCATAGGTGTCGTGAGAGAGAATTTCGAGAAATCTCAGAAATATCTTATTTCTTTCAATAGTTGACATTACAATCATCTCCAGACGCAATAACCAGACCAGGTAGCGTTAAAGGTACAGGCCTATGTATACTTTAAGGTATATGCTATCTAAAGGTACAGGCTTATGTATACTTTAAGGTATATGCTTAAGTATATGCTAAGTACAGAAACGTAAGTAACGATAGCCAAGCATAGCGATCCTATCAAATAGGAAAGAGGCCTACGACTAGCAATGCACTTTTCTAATATTGCAACGGCTAACATCATTAAAAAAAAATCAAAATCATCATAAATAATCAAAAGATAGAGATCACAAAATGCAACTTTCATTCTCATCGATTGACAAAAATTACACCATCGGGACAAGATCAAAATAAAATGATCGATCCTCTTACGTCGTTACACGTGACCAAAAATATGAAATCTACTGAAACAACATAATAATATACAATTTGCGTTGTTACAGGCAAAAAGGGCACGACCGGATACAGGCACCGATGTTCGGTAAGTGTTACCACTATAAATATTTTTTTTTCAACTATGATTTTAGTTAAATCACTCCCGTTTTAAGTAGCGATAGAACCCAAGGTGATGAATACAATCTTGAAGATGATAATGAAAGAGCGGATATCGGTTTTCCAAAAAATTAGCTTTTATAAACATTTCAACCCAATTGCAATACATATGTCATATGTATTAATAAAGAAATTTTTTTTACTGATGCGAACATCAACTAATTTAATATGGTACTTAAGTAAAGTTTATCCTTTATCACTTTTTTCATAATACTCATATTTTACTACAAAATTGTAAATTATTAAGAAAACAGAAGTATTAAGGAAATCCTCAAAGCTAAACGTAATTCAAAAATGTTAATCCGATATTATACCGTTTACTTGATGGTCAACCGTGAGGTTAAGTTCAACGGAAACGATGTTGCCATATGCTACCTGTAATATTAAATTTGCATAAAACTACGCTTTTAAAGCAGGAAGTTTATTTCGTCTAAGATGTTTATGTAAATAAACGTACACAAATTATGTAAAAAGATTCTATTTTAGAACAGAAATAAGAGTAAACTATGCTGGTGTATTTTTTTAGCTGAGATTTTCAGCGATGATGTTAAACAAGCATGTAGTCCAGTTAATGCTGTGACCCATAGACGTCTACTTTTATCATTTTGTAAAATAGTTTTGACCTATTTGAAAAAGTCTGACTATACAAAAGGTTCGAAATTTGAAAATGAAATGCCTCGTTTCCAATATAAGAAAGGTCTACGGTTCTCTACACTCATTTAGTGGTAGACGGTACAAGACAGTATCATACAAAACACAGCAGCGTTATGTTGCTATTTCACGCAAGTACTCCGTGAGAGCGTGGTCCTATTCCAGTTGAGTCGAATTATTAGTGTCATCACTAAAAAAAAGTAGCTGATAGTCCATCTGATGGTAGCTGCAGTCCATGGCCACCGGCAGCCAACTTGAAACAAAGAAGACTGTAGATACGTAATCACCTTTAAGAATTAAGATGGAATTCATCAGAACCCTTAATAATATTGATTCTATATCCTCCTTATCGCAATACAGCAGCGCAAACACTGCTGCTTTTTTTTAAAGAATAAAGATGACAAACGAGCACACAGTCCACCTGATGGTAAGTGGAAGCTGTGACTCATAGACATCTACACTTATCCTCGATTAAGAATCAAAATGCAGATGCGTCGTCTGAAGACTAAGACTTTTTTAAGTAGTAGAGACACGCTACAGCTATATTGTTAGTTCAGCACGAATGGGCCAACTCGACCGGGGTATGACCACGCTTTCATAGAATACCAGCACAAAATAGCAGCTTAACGCTGCTGTTTCGTATGTTGAGTGTAGAGAACCGGAAACCCTTTTTACTGGAAAGACGCATTCCATCTCAGTCCTCAGGGCTGGCAACGAATCTGCATTTTGATTATTAATTGACGATAAATGTAGATATCTATGGGCCACAGCATCCACTTTTGACTGTGTACTCGTTTCAAGTAAAAAAGGGTCTCAAGTTCTATACACTCACCATACGAAACACAACATCCTTAAGCTGCTATTTTACGCAGGTATTCTGTGAGAGCGTGGTCCTAGCCCAAGCCGACCCATTCGTGCTACAACTAATATAGCTACAGCGTGGATCTACCACGTAAAAATTGCTTGGTGGCAGAAATAGTTAAGGGGATGATACCTACTCTGATAAACTTCTAGACGGTCACGGAGTCCCACCACCTAGTGATATGTTAGGGCTGTAAGACATCTCATGTTCAGTCTCAGGGCGGAAAACGCATGTATGGCCTTCCTTATTTGAAGTCGTTCATGAACCGCTGTAGCCACAGGTCATCAGGTGAACTCCAAAATCTTAGCACTAAGATGGAATGTCTTATCAGTAATAATAGAAAAGAAGAAAAACAAAAGTTTCGAACATGTCTCCCAGTGGTCACTGTCACCTAGCATTTCTATTACCAACCACAGCGCACTTACCGGGATCGCATAAATCAAAGGAGGTAACGCTCGTGACAAAGAGCGTAAATCACGAGGCATGCCGTTCGAGGTGTGAGGCCGGCCGATCTCGTGATGACCTGCAGCAGCTATATACCATTAGGTGGACGAGAAAAAAAATATGAATTGTACATTATAACTGTCACTATAACTGAATGACAATTTAGCCACAGAATAAATGATTTATGGGTAACTTAGCCCGGTAGTCAAAGCACTCAGCTACAATAACATAAGGTCTCGGCCAACTGGAGCCAAAATTGTGCACCTAACACAAATTATTGATTGTCGAAATATCTTTGATACAATTAGGTTCGGATAAAGTAGTACGTACATAAATGGCATAATGATCACCTGCAAAGCTATATTCCAATTATTCGGAAGTTGTTACCTTTCTACTATCTTCTTTCTACTATACTACAGATCTTGATAGTATGTTGTGATTATTCCTGATCAACAATATAGTGAAGTTGGGCTGCAATAAAATTAAATACGAGTGTCCCTGAGTTACAAGAGTGTGAACCTAGATGGATGGAACATGGACTATAAAATTGAACATTAAAAAAACTTTCTAGAACAGTTTACATTTTGCTGTTTAGACAATGTCGCTCTTAAAAACATTCATCAATATAAATAACTTCGTCAAAATTTCCTACTACTTAATTCTGATACAGTTTACACTCAAATCTTCACGCTTTTCCAATCTACTTCACATGACAATAGCAAGGGTCCATAATCCCGGCTTAATCCCCATATTGTCGGTACACAATTGCCGTGAAAAGAGCTACTTAATAGAAACTCTTCAATGGAACACGCCCCGGTTTTATCAACAGCTTCACATTATCACGCATCGATCAAAGGAAATGATTTCAATCTACAATGGGTTTTATGTTACAGCAGGTCGATTTAGGAGTTTAAATATACTTGTTTATTTTTTTCGTTGGGTGAAATGAGTGTAAATTTTGACAATACTAAATAACATATTTTAATACGTGTGGATCTTACTCTAGAAATTACGGTTAGAAATAATCATAATCAGAAAAAAGTTCCAGTTGCTGGAGTTCTGCCAATGTGCGACAAAAGTCGAACATCTCAAAGATTTGGTCAGTGCTAACCTGATGCTCTTTTTACGACTCAATCACACAAACCCAATATTTCCCTACTATTCCCATATAAAATATGTATGAATAAAATATATTGTTCATACAACAAAATACTTCGTAATGATTTCTTATATTTACGCGAACATTGCACATGATTAAAACTACTTTTACGGATTTTATCGCGTTTATTTTTACTTTTTATTTTTAATTCCCGACGTTTCGGGCGCTTTCCAGCACCCATGGTCACGGGGGGACTGAGATGACTGACGTCCCGATGTCATTGTTAAACCCGGAGTACCTTCAGCTTTTTTAATTATTGTTTATGGTCCGATCTATGCAAAATAAACTGACTATGTCCTGAGGTCTTGCAGTGGTATGCTTGGGTTTAGTTTTAATTTTATTGATTATAGGATCCCAAGCAGGTGGTAGTACCCAGCCTCCTTCTCTATTGAAATTAGGATGTTTTTTAATTTCAATAGCCTCACGTATCATCCTTGGTAGGAATCGGTGTTCTTTCGCGAGGATTTGTGGTCTATCATATCTGATGTAATGGTTGGGGCCGTCTAGGATATGATCACAAACTGCAGACTTCCCGGAACGTTGATGCTTCACATCAGCTATAAAAGCGTAAAAGAACATATAGCTGATGTGAAGCATCTTGATCACCTCAAGACATAGTCAGTTCATTTTGCATAGATCGGACCATAAACAATAATTAAAAAAGCTGAAGGTACTCCGGGTTGAACAATGACATCGGGACGTCAGTCATCTCAGTCCCCCGTGACCATGGGTGCTGGAAAGCGCCCTAAACGTCGGGAATTAAAAATAAAAAGTAAAAATAAACGCGATAAAATCCGTAAAAGTAGTTTTAATCAAAATACTTCGTATATAATTAAATATATTTTGTATCTATATATGGTAGAACACGCTGCAGCTATGTTACTATGGTTGTAGCACGAATTGGTCGGCTCGTCCGGGAACGGACTATGCTCTAACAGAGTACCTACCAGCGTCAAATAGCAGCTTAATATTGCTGTGTTTCGTATGGTGAGTGTTGAGAACTGGAGACCCTTTTTACTGGAAACGAGGTATTCCATATTAGTCCTCGGGTGTGACAACGCATCTGCATTTTGACTCTTAATCGAGGATAGATGTCTATGGGCCACAGCTTACACTTATCATCAGGTCGACTGTGTGCTCGTATGTCACCCTTATTCTATATGAAAAAAATGTAATAAGCGCCAAAACCTTTCAAAAAAATCTTGAAATGATGGCGTTTTTTACTAAATACATAATATTAAAGTTTTAAGCGAATTCACACACAAACGCAGATAAAAGACTTTATTTTGTACTAATTAGTGATTTCTAAAAGTATACATGTATCCATATTCTCAACAATTTTTAAAAATAAAATCTATGCATATAATAAAATGTAAACGCATGTATTTGTACATTATATATTTTTGTAACATAAATGATTGTAGGGGACCAAAAATAAGTAATATTAAATATGGTTCTTTTCTTTACATCTATACGATTCAATTTAATTAATTACAAAAATGACAAGCTAAATTCTGTTAGAAATTTAACTGTCACCAATTATTTAAATAGAATATTTCTATTAAGATCTTTTGCGCTGTTCAGTCAAAAAAAAAAGATAAATGGATTCTGGTATTCGACGAGACGCATTCCAATTTAGGCAACGAATTAGTTGGGTTAATTAGTGGTTAACACGACGTTCGTCTTTCCTTTTTTATCTGTTTTAAAATATGCATTGCATTCTGAAGCCCGAATATAAATCAAATTTTTGAAAGAATTCTATTATGTTTTTATTTTATTTTGACAGCCAGGATCTAGAGTGTCACATAACAGT